TGGCCAAGCAACGCAAGATCTCTCTGCCCGTTTGAGCTTCCTAATGTCTTCTGTTCATTAATTACCAGTTTAACCACAAGAGTCTGATTTAGTTAACAAAATATAGTTTTTTGCAAGTGAACAACTGATTACAGATTACAATAGTATATAATAGACATTGTTACAGAGAATTGAGGTGGGCCACATGTTAGATTCAACTTCTTTGAGATTCTAATTTGACAAATGTATAAGACATTACCATGGTGGGTGGTGCTTATGGCACTCTTCGCTCCTCCACAAATCTCAACAGGCTGATTAATTTTTTTTAATCCTGTCATACCCATTTAGACACATATGCATCTCTTTCCAAACTTTTTCTTCTCATTATTAATTTATACAGTTGCATATATAATTCCATTTACTGCTGCCCACCTCACCCACCACCCCCCAGAAAAAAACTGTCATGTTACAAATTCAGGCAATTGGAGGTTTCACTATTCACCCAGACCCATTCTCATCAGGTTTGGAGGACTGGTAGTTAGCTGGGTGGAGGACCGTTGACTTTGATTCTTTTCCTGACCGACTGAGATTTTTGGGTCAGCTCATTGTTAAGTTGCTCATTCGGTTTGTCTAATCAATCAGTGGTAGACAATTAACCTGTAGTGCGACAAGGTTCTTACAGTCCCTGTGTGCACCCCCTTCGTTAGTACAAACTATGTACTATCTCTGCTGGTCTACAACTCCATGGATGGCCATATCTCTTCTATTTTGATCCATGATCCACACTGGTCATCCCAGTACTAAATGTGATGACTGTCTCGTGCAACAGCTGCTATTGTGTGTATGGCCTGTTGTGCACCCAGGGCTGCTCTCTATTCTATATGTGTTAATAGTCCAGTAGACAAAGTATGGAGCCAACTTCCTTGGGGAGTTGAGTCTTCAGTTTCCATCCCATCAGCAACACTGGTGGTACTAGATCACATTTAGCAGTGACAAAGGGAAGTCAGCATACAAGTGAGTGACTGAACTGTCGTGACCCCAAATATGGCTTTCCAATTTGCTTATAATCACAGCAAGTTCCTTTCTTACTTTAACCTCCAGATTTACAGGTGCTGTTGGGATTTGGTTTGTATTGTTTATAGTGAAGATAGAAGAAAAATATTTATAAACTTCATCCACAATTTGTTTATTATTTATTAGCTCCAATTGCTGTAAACCAATATAGACTCAAACACATACAAACGCTCTGTAAGCCAATGTATTTTTCATTCTTGTGTTTTGTTAATCACTTTCAATCTTGTAACTGTACATTTGTTCCTTCTCAGTTACTTAATGTACACTGATGGTGGCGACGTTCTGTGTGCTGGGTTTGTCTCATGGTGCATCAAAGGAAAATAAGGTATTCTGGTGGAAGAAATGCCCTATGGTTTTGAAAATAGGAAGACACAATGTAGAAAAAACACAAATTTTTGTCAAAGGTCTGTGATGTTAAAAGAACACTGCTGGAAAACTGTGCTCCATTGTTTCTGTGACCATAAAGATGCCAGAGGTGGATAATCCAGCAACTGAAATGGAACAGTGGACAGAAGGTCCACTGAGACACCAATCCCGATAAAGACAGGTACATGAGGCGGAACGGTTTAGAATCATATGGACCAAACACAGGCAAATGGGACTAGTTAAGTTTGGGATACCTGGTCGGCATGGATGAAATGGGCCGAAGGGTCCATTTCCGTGCTGTGTGTCTCTATGACTCTATAAGACTGTGATGAAATAAAATTTAGAAAGGACTCCAGGAAGGGTCATAAGAATTAAATTGCGAACACCCCAGAAACCTAGATTGTTGTTGGACAGAAAAACAGGGAAATGACTTATACATAGGTTTTGTCTTTGTGCTTTTCTACAGGATTGTCCTGCTGTTTGTGTGTCTTCCTTTTGAGACCCAGCAGAATGTATTAAGTTTCAGTGTTGTATAGGGTCTTGTATGTTTTAAAGCTGTTGAGTGTTTAATGTGTGTGAAATATCTCTATACAAACTGCAGGAAAATTGGCCCAAGAATAATTCATGATAAAATACATGTTTCAGTTTTTGGAGTCATTTGCTTTGCTTGATCTGAATGGAATTTCTAGAAGGATCACTCTGGGACAAGGTTGTAAATAAAATCCAAACTGAAGAAGTAGGAAAATTATGTTCATCCAATGAAAACTTGGAGACATTGTTTTTTTTTCCCCCCTGAGATTGTAAGAGACTATTGTTAGTCACCAGTTTGAAAAATCTTTCTTAGAATCAAAAATGTTTTTAAATTGAATGAGTGCTGTGGAGATTGTGTGAAAATGTAAGGAAAATTTCAGCAGGGATTATCTTTAGGTGATGGCCTAGTGGTATTATCACTAGACTATGAATCCAAAAACTCAGCTAATGTTCTGGACACCCGAGTTTGAATCCTGCCATGGCAATTGGTGGAATTTGAATTCAATTAAAAATATCTGGAATTAAGAATCTAATGATGACCACATAACCATTGTCAATTGCCCGAAAAACCCATTTGGCTCACTGATGTCCTTCAGGTTGGGAGATCTGACATCTTCATCTGGTCTGCCTACCTGCGACTCCAAACCTACAACATTGTGTTTGATTGTCAACTTCCCTCTGAAATGGTTGTGCAAGCCACTCAGTTGTATCAATTGCTACAAAGTCTCAACAAAGAAATGAAACCGGGTGGACCACCTGGCATCAACCTAAGCACCGGAAAAGGCAATGGCAGAAACAGCCTTGCATAATGCTCCTTACCGACATCTAGGGGTTAGTGCCATAATTGCGAGAGCTGTCTCACAGCCTAATCAAGCAACAGGGCAAAACAATCATACTCACTGAATTTACTTTACAGACAATGTCCCCGACACCACCGTCACCATCCTTGGATGTATCCTGACCCATCGGCAAGAGAGACCCAACAGAGGTGGTGGCACAGTTGGGAGGCAGTTGCTCTAGAGTCCTCAACATTGACTCTGAGCCCGTTTGAATTCTTGTGGCTTCAGGTTAAACATGGGCAAAGATACCCACTGCTGATTATCACGTACTGTCCTCCCTCGGCTGATGCATCAGTACTCCTCCATGTTGTACAACACTTGAGGGTGGCAAAGGCACAAAATGCACTTTGGGTGGGGAATTTCAATATCCACCACCTAGAATGGCTCAGCTACTGATTGAGCTGGTCGTGTTCTAAAGGACATAGCTGTAAGACTGGGCTGCTGCAGGTGGGGAGGGAACCAACAAGACAGAGAAAAAAATCATACTTGACCTCATCGTTACCAATCTTCTGGCTGCAGGTGGATCTGCCAACAACAGCATCGGTAGGTGTGGCCAATGCACAGTCCTTATGGAGACAAAGTCCTGCTTTCACATTGAGAATATCCTCCATCATGTTGTGTGGCATTATCACTATGATAAATGGGACAGACTTTGAACTGATCTAGTATATCAAGACAGGAATGTGCTGTGGGCCATCAATGGCATTAGAATTGTACTCCAGCACAATCTGCAACCTCATGGCTCAGCATAACCCCCACTCAACCATTACCATCAAGCCACGGGATCAAAACCAAAGTTGCTGGAAAAGCTCAGCAGGTCTGGCAGCATCTGTGAAGGAAAAAACAGAGTTAACGTTTCGGGTCTGGAGACCTTTCCTCAGAACTGAAACGCTAACTCTGTTTTTTTTCCTCCACAGTTGCTGCCAGACCTGCTGAGCTTTTCCAGCAACTTTGTTTTTGTTCCTGATTTACGGCGTCCGCAGTTCTTTGGGTTTTTATTTAAGACAGGGGATCAACCCTGGTTCAATGGAGAGTGCAGGAGGGCATGCCAGGAGCAGCACCAGGCAAACCTAAAAATGAGGTGTCAACCTGGTGAAGCTACAAAACAGGGCTACTTGCACGCCAAAAGGCTTAGGCAGCAAGTGATAGACAGAGCTAGCATAACTAATAGGTTGAATCTAAGCTCTGCAGTCCTGCCACATCCGTTTGTGAATGGTGGTGGACAATTAAACAACTCACTGGAGGAGGAGGCTCCACAAACATCCTCATCCTCATTAATGGAAGAGCCCAGCACATCAGTGCAAAAGACAAGGCTGAAATTTTTACAGCAATCTTCAGGTACATGTTACATTGAGAATGATAGTCATTGTTCCAGAGATTTTGAGGAGGACCAGACATTAGGAACAACTCCTTTAACATTCTAAATTGTTTTGCCCACAAGTCCATTTGAAACTATCATAGTGGGCGGTGTTTATGGCTGTCCTCAGAGTTAACCCTTTCAGACCCATATACTTTGTACAACCACCTGGATTGGTCTTTGAAAAGGCTAGTGCAAGTAGGGCTGAATGGCTTCCAATGCTGAGTGATTCCATAATATCTAAAGCACTTACAGTTAATAAGATACTTAATAAGGTAGACATTGCAATGTAGGAAATGCAGTGTGCAATGCACACACTTAATGCCCCCAGAGTCAGCGATGAGGCAAATAACCTAACAATCTGTTTTAGTGATGTTGTTTGAGTGACAGGGGAGAAGTCCTGTGGTTTCTTTAACTCGTGTTGGTGGAATCTTTGATCGAGCTGAGGGAGCAGACTGCCTTTTGGTTTAACATCTCCCCAGAAGGTGGCATCTCTGACAGTGCAGCACTCCCTCCGCTCTGCAGTTGGAATGCCAGTCTAGATTATGTGCTCAAATCTCTTCAATAAGCTCAACCTTCCGACTGAGGTGAACAGTTGACACATTTACACATAAATAAATTAGAAACTCCGGTGTTTTTTTAAATGCATGGATTATATTTTCCATTGTTTCACGATTCATTTAAAAAAAAATATGCACCTGCTTTCAGTTCTTCAGAGTTTCTGTAATCCATTTATTTCAAGCTGCTCCCTTAGCGTGGCTCTGGGAGTGTGCCTAAAGCGTTGACATTTGGACACATAGCCCTCCCTTTCATGGGCAGCTGATGTTACGCTCTTCCCTTGCTCAGCTGTCATATGATCACCGGCTGCGGAGCTGCAGACGTAAGGCAAGCTGAAGCTGAACTGGTAGAGCAGCAGAAAGTGGAGAGCTGGAGCCAGAGAAGATGAGCATGTTGGTGCTGATTAACAAGTTGCTGGACTGGTTTAAGTCCCTGTTCTGGAAGGAGGAGATGGAGCTGACCCTGGTCGGGCTGCAGTACTCGGGCAAGACGACGTTTGTGAATGTGATCGCGGTACAGTGAATCTACTTAACCATGAACCAGTGCCTAACTGTTTCATTGTGTGTTTATTAATTAATTGTCACTATCATTATTCATCACTTGTTAGTCACCTTAGACCACCAGGAGGGGAAGCAGGCCCTGACTTTAGGGCACAGCCTCTCGCTCTTTCTTCACCTCCCCCCTCCACCCTTTACCATTGAAAGCACTTAGTGTTAAAACGGAAAGCTTACAGAGAGCTGAGGCTTGGATCGGAAGCACAGTACTCCTTTCTGTCTCAGCGGCCTTGCAGGGTTGGGTACCTTGCTTAGGCGTCAGTGAAGAGCAGCCCAGCTCCTCTCAGTTTTATATGCTCCTTCTAGATGCCTCCTAGAAACGGCCTTATCATCATTTCCTGCCAATGATTGCATGTTATGGTGCTTTACTGTTTATGCCCATGTCAGTATGTATTATTTCCAGCTTTTAGTGTATGTAGATGTACATTTCCTTGCTCTGTACCCCACCCATCGCTAATGTGATGAACATCATTTTATTTGTGTGTGTGTATGTACACATACACATTGTACTATCATGTGTGGTCCAACTGATGAGTCACCTGATATTGCACAAGCCCTTCCCCGGAAATAAAAACAAATCATTCACATGTATAACTGGTTAGCAACATCACCAATAATTTTTACTTATAAATTCTGGGGTGATACTTCAGAAATGATTATTTGCATTGTGTCCTCTTTCAATATCTAAAAGTACTTCCTCTGGTTTTCCAGTGATTTTAATTTTTGATAACCTTGTTGTTTTTTCCTTGACTTAGCAAAAAAAAATCATCCTCCGCTTCCTCGCAAACTTCGAGATTTCTGAGATTCTTTATGGAATTTCAGCTGGATGTCAGGGAGAGAATGAAAAACATTCTTCATGCTGAAATTTAAAATAAAAAAAAATCAACTTTACTTCCTCCTGTGCAATATGATTTGATGTAATTCATTGTTGTTTGCCAAGCAAGTTATGAGAAAGCTTGCCTCTTGTGTTAAGTATAGATTGTCATTGGACAGAATAGTTACTGCAGTACTGTAAAACTCAGAATATGATGTTTTGAAAAAGCTCAAAAATCCATATTTGCCTTCAGATGCAGAACTTCTATCCATTTTGGAATACCTTTCTCTATTCCTGTATTTTAAAATGAGTGTTTATTTTTAAAGAAAGTTAAGCCCCAATGGCAATTGTGTCCTTTAATTTTCAATAGAAATGATGCAATAAGTTCATCACCTCCCAGTCTGGTTGACGAAAATGGTCATAAGGCCTAAAATGTTTTTCCCATTATCTTTGCTTCTGATTGCTACCTGACCTCCATACATTTCCAGTATTTATTCCAAAACCACTATAGCACATTCTATCTTCTTGCATTGGCCAGTAATTTACTTTTCACCTGCCTCTTCTGGAGATGCTGACTCATCAGCTAAGAGAAAGACAACTATCTGCTTGTTAACCCATTTGATTGTGATTGTGACCAGGGTAAATCCATTCCTTTTCATTGCCTGCTGCCTTTTTAACATGGTTAACCACACACCATTCTCTTCCAACGTCTTGCCTGTGTCATCCAACTGTGTGGGATTGTCATCGCTTGGTTCCATTGCTAATTATTCAATCATCACTGGGGAATGATCAACATTGATTTCCCTTCCATGCAAGGGTCCACCAAGGATCTATCCACAGTTCCCTCCAATATCTCATTTACATTGTGCCTTTCAGTAATACTCAAGAACAAATCAAGTTGCAGATGGAACTCTTCATTAGAACTATCGTTCTCCTGTTGGATGAACAGAATTTCCTGCCAACTGAATATTGGGAACCTTGGATATTTGATGTCCAACACAAACTCTGCTCCCTACTCATTGACTCCATCCCTTTCCTTGGGAACTGTGTGAGCTTGAACTAGATTGTTCACAACCACCTACTTGCGCATCTAACTTCAACCATTTTCAATCTTTCCTCAGCCTATCTGCTGCAGAAACCTTCAACCACATTTTTGTTACCTTTAGAATCAACTATTCCAACAATGGCTAGCCTCCTAGTTTGCATTCTTTGTAAACGTGAGGTCATCCAAAACTCAGCTGCCTATTTCTCAATCAAATCAGGTGCCATGTACCGCCTAACATACCTTGGCTCTCTGTTATGCCACATATTTATTTCCAAGTTTTTAACATTGGTTTCAAATTTCTTTCTACCTGTACAGGGAAGATGATGGTGTGGTGATAATTTCACTGGGTGTGTAATCCCGAGTTTCAGGCAGATGGTCTGGGCACACGAGTTTGAATCCCATCGTCAGAAATGGTGAAATTTGAACTCAATCAATAAATCTGGAATTAAAAGCGAGTGTAAGGTCGACTACAAAACTTGTTGATGTCTCTCATGTCAAGAGAATTGGCTAATGGGCAGGAAATAACGAGCAGGGATTAGGGGTTTATTCTTGGGTTGGTGACCTGTGACCAATGGCATTCCATAGGGATCAGTGCTAGGACCCCACCTGTTTACAATATATATTAACGACTTGAAGGAAGGAAGTGAATGTACTGTTGCCAAATTTGCAGATGACACAAGTAGGAGGAAAGACAAGCTGTGTGAGGGATTCAACAGTTTACAGAGAGTTATTGAAAGTTAAGTAAGAGAATAAAAAGTTGGCAAATGGCATATAATGTGGGAGGATGCAAAGTTCATTTTGGAAGGGACAGCAAAAGAACAGAATTATTTAAATGGAGAAAAATTGCAGAAAGCTGCAAAACAAAGGACCTTGAGGGTACTTGTGCGTGAAGCACAGAAAGCTAACACACCAATGCAGCAAGTAATCAGAAAGGTTAATGGAATGTTGGCCCTTATTTCAAGGAGGTTGAAGTATAAGAGTAGGGGAGTCTTACTGCAACTGTACAAGGTGCTGGTGAAATCACATCTGAGGTACTGTGAGCAGTTTTAGTCCTGTATTTAAGGAAAGATTGGAGGCAATTCAGAGAAGGTTTACAAGGATGGTCCCTGGTATGGAGGGACTGTCTTATGAGCAAAAGTTAAACAGGTTGGGATTCAATCGTGGCGTTTAGAGGATTGAGAGGTGATCTTGGGGAAACAAATAGGATTCTTAAGGGGCTTGACAGAGTAAATACTGAGGGGATGTTTCCCATCTTGGGAGAATCTAGGACGCCCACTAACAACATCGTGGGAATTACCATTGATCAGAAACTTAACTGGACTCACCACATAAACACAATGACTACAAGAGCAGGTCAGAGGCTAGCAGTAACTCACCACCTGACTCCTGAAAGCCTGTCCACCACCTACATGGCACAAGTCAGGAGTGTGATGGAATACTCCCCATTTGCCTGGATGAGTGTAGCCCCAACAACACTCAAGAAGCTTGACACCATCCAGGACAAAGCAGCCCACTTCATTGGCATTATGTTGACAAACATCTACTCCCTCCACCACTGATGCTCAGTAGCAGCAGTGTGTACTATCTACAAGATGCGCTGCAGAAAATCACCAAAGATCCTTAGACAGCACCTTCCAAACCCAAGACCACTTCCATCTATAAGGACAAAGGCAGCAGATACATGGGAACACCACTGCTTTCAAGTTCCTCTCCAAGCCACTCACCATCCTGACTTGGAAATATATTGCCAATTCTTCACTGTCGCTAGATTCCGTCCCAATTGGCATTGTGGGTCAACCCACAGCAGGAGGAATGCAATGGTTCAAGAAGGCAGCTCACCACCACCTTCCCAAGGGCAACTAGGGATGGGTAATAAATGCTTGTCAGCCAGCGACACCCACATCCCACTAAAAAATGATTTCTTTTACAAAAAAGGCCATAGTCTCAAATAAAAGGGTGCCAATTTAATACTGAGATGAAGAAGAGTTTCTTCTGAAGATTGAGAATCTTTGGAACTCCTTGCCACAGAGTTGTGGGGGCAGAGTCCTTGTGTATATTTAAGGATGCAATGGATAGATTCTTGATCAGTCGGGGTATTGAGGGTTATGGGCAAGGGCAGGAAAGTGAGGAATGCCGGAACAGCTATTCTGTTGAATGGTGGAGCAGGCTTGAGGGGCTGAATGGCCTACTCCTCTTGCTATTTCTTATGGTTCCTGAGAAAAGGAGATGTGTTGTGCTTATCTGCTCTGGTCGTGTGACTCCAGACCCAATGCCGTCTGAAATGGCCGAGCAAACCATTCAGTTGTGTGTAACTGCTATGAAGCGTAAGAGAAGGAACAAAACCTGATGGAGGAATCAGTATCGAGTTAGGAACCAGATGCGACCACGGGAAATGTAGCCCTTTCAGCCCTGCAAAGACCAGGAGGAGTATGAAGCAGGTTAATGTCTCTTCAAAGCAGATTGGAAAGTGTGCACACCAGGTTGGCATCCCTGATGCAGACTGGGAGGCTTATGCAGCAGGCCAGTATCCCTGTGATGCAGAGTGGATCTGGGTGAGAAGGGCTGCAGGAGATACAAACTGGTGGCAAAGAACCCCTCCAAACTGTTTGTACCTGTCAGGACTGAAGTGTGACGTCACAGGAAAACATCCCCGACTGGTTGATATTTCTGCTGTATCTGTCTAGGTTAGCCACTTGAATCAGGAGATATTACAGCTGAAGAATATGTTAAAACTGTTAAAATATTTAACATCCAAATTAATTATTTTAATCAGAGATGGCTGGGCAGGAAATGTATTGCAGTTCTAGTATGTGGGAACTGGCGGATGCTGTCATGTTCCATGGTGAACACATCTTCAGCAAGTGAAGAAGGGTCCTGACCTGAAACATCAGCTTTCCTGCTCCTCTGATGCTGCCTGGTCTGCTGTGTTCCTCCAGCACCACACTGTTATTTCTGACTCCAGCATCGGCAGTTCTTACTATCTTTCAGCAACTGTTGGCTACTTGAGGAACTTTGGCTCAGAAATTATGAGTATGAACCCTCCATTTAAGAAAGAATGCACTGGCATTGGAGGCAAAAAAGATTCACTCGATGATTCCTG